CCTGGGCCGTGCCCGCGTCGCGCCGGCGCTGGCCCCACCGCCGTTTGCGTACAAAGGAGCCTCCCCCGTCTCCTTATCCCCTGCTCCCCGTGGTGAACGCTCAGTTTGTCGCTGTATGTTTCTGAGTGGCTTTTGTCCTTCTGTGAAAGCTCCCTGTTCTCTGAAATTCATGCTGTCTCTTGGGTTCCACTTTGCAGACTGTTGAGCCTGGTTCATGCATGCCTGCTGGTTTTGAGTGGCATCGACCCTCTTAAATGAGTCTTCTTTTTGAAGTGTAAGGGTAAAATACTTCTCAATAATGTTTTAACTGCTTAGGGTGACATTGACACATATATTCTCCTGTTTGTAAATGCCCTGCTCTGACTTCTTTTTTTCTTGCTTTTGTAGCTGGAGCCGTATATGGATGAAAACTTTGTTTCGAGAGCCTTTGCCACCATGGGAGAGCTTGTACTGAGTGTAAAAATCATTCGAAACAGGTTGACAGGGTAACTCTTCATCCTTGTTCTCAGTTTGCTCTACCGGTGCGTTTGGATTGAGCTGTTTGCCCTCTGCGTGGCGCCGCTGTGGTCGTGTCCGTATCGGAGAGATTTTTCCCCTTGAGCTTCTCTCGCCATTGATGCCAGCAATACAGGAGTATCGATGGTAGCAATGGAGCGGAGAATTGCTGCCTCGTCAGCCTCCCCATCGACAAACCGAGGTTTCGCCCTCATCCCGCAGTGCTTCCGCACGCGTCCCGAGCGGCACACGTACACCTGTACGATCCCTCTGGGAATTACACGTCCTGGGCCAAAGGCTTTGAGGACTAGTCTGGGTGAATCGTTGCACTAGTGGTGCTGGCAGAGGTGGGAAGTCTGACTTAGAGCAACGTGAGAACCTCTGGAGTTCATTTGGAATGAAAAGAGTGACTGTAGGGAGAGCAAAGTAGGTGTGGGTTCTTGTAAACATTGTCGTTTCTGTTGTTCAGACTTGAGTGGGAAAATTTATACCCAGTGAAGGTAGAAAGTAAACTAATTGTGAGCAAACCTGTTTTCTCTGTGCTTATGTTGACGTGACTTATTGGTAAGTAGGGGCTATCACTTTACTTGAGATCCAAGATTGCTTTGCTAGTTTCTTTTTAGTAGTTAATGTTTATGCTTTGAAAATATTCTAAGTATTGCTTCTATAGTAAATTTCCTACCAGCTTGTCTAAAATTACAATATGCCTTCTCAAATGTGTTTTAAATTTGAAATCTTTCTCTCTCCTCTCCTGTGTCGTATGTTCAGAATTCCAGCAGGCTATTGCTTTGTAGAATTTGCAGATCTAGCTACTGCAGAGAAATGTTTACACAAAATCAATGGAAAACCGCTTCCTGGTGCTACACCGGTAAGTAAATTAAATCAGCCAGTTGAGAACCAAAACTGAGATGGAGTAGGTAGTGTAGAATCTGTATTTGGAATGTTTACGGACAAATCCAATAGCAAACCGGGATTCTGCTTTTCTTTAGAGTTAAAGTAATCAGCGTAAAACTATAAATATTCTTGCTTAGAAAACTAGTGAAAAAAACCACTAATTTCTGTATGAATGCCTGGATATAATCCACATACAGAAATGTGGTGGCATGTTTTTTTATTTCTGAGCCTTTCTGCTATTAGCAAAGCTGGATTAATGAGAAACCAGGGAAGAATAAGAAAAAAATCGATTAAATATAGTACCGCAGTCCTTCTGTCTCTCTCTATTTGTAATTCCATACTAATTTGTTGCAGTGTGTCTGTTGTTCTCTGTGTCCAAGATCACGCTGAGTTTTGACTAACTTTGATTTGGAAGAGAAACGGGACTTTTAATCCTTGCGCTATTCTTAGCCCTTAGCAAGCAAAAGTTATTCCGACCAGTTTGCAGTGGAGTAAGAGCCTGACCGTTGTATAACTGCAGGACGTAACGAATGGCTCAGGTACATGAAAAGTGGAGGGTTAGGAAGAAGAGGAAGAGTCACAGAGGCTAATTTTAGGATGTTGACTTGACCGTGGAGTAGTTTAAAACGGGCCGGCTGACACAGCTGCCGGCTGTACCCGCAGAAGCTGGCTGAAGTAGTAGGATGACTGGTTCATAAAGCAGCTCTCGAATCACATTTTTAATTACAGTGTGACATAATGAGGTAAATGGATGCGTATTTGAGTGTCGTTAGTACCCCGAGTTGGAAACCGGAGAGGTCAGGTTGACCAAACGTCACCCTGCCTGCAGCGGTGGTGGCCCCCGTTAAAAGGGGGAGATGTGAAGCCTGGAGGTATCTGTTTAATATGCAAATCAGAGCCCTTGATTAGGGAAAGCTAATCCTCCTTGATGCGTTCCCTAGGCACTAGAGAGAGAGAAAGAGAGCAGCTCTTGCAAGGAGTAACGTGGTAACTGAAGTTTAGGTTCGGGAATACCTGGCTTTAGTTTAGTTTAGTTCAGAGGCCGGCCCTGTGCCGAGGGGTGATTTACATAACCCGCGGAGAGAATTACAGATGTCAGACAGATCAGAATCAGTGCACTCAGCAGGCAACTGCCCAGCTCATCTCTTACATTCAGATACTTTCTTGTTTGCAGAAAACTGAGTGTGGCTCGCTCTTTTATTTTATTTTTTAAATACTGAGTCGACCAAAGGAGTAGCAGAGAGCTGTGGTGCCATTGCCCTCCCCGTTTTAACGAATTAGTGTGCCCGGTTCCTGTGTGAGTGGAAGTGCTCTTGGGTTTCTTGCTGATTTTAAACCCAAAACGCTGCAGTGGAGAGTGAGATCCAAAAAAACAAGATGGAAGTGCTTCAAAGTGGAACCTAAGTTTTCTGTTAGCTTGTAAACGGTCCATGGACGGAGTTGTGTGCTGCTGTGCACCAGTAAATGCAAACATGCGAGGAACATGGTTATAGCCTAGAGTTAAGCCTTTGCTCTATTTCCTGAGAATTATTTACGCTGTCTTTGAGGAAAGAAAACACATCGCACAAGGTACAGCAGCACGCTGGGCTCCCCGCCGCACTGAAGGAATGGTTACGGACTCACAGTAGGTTTGATTTCTTTGGCCAGATTCCCCTCGAATTCTTGCAGAGGGACAGTTTTGAAGCCCCTCAAGTTGGCGAGGGCATCCAGCTGAGGTTTTACGGTGCTGACGCGAGTAGCGGCACCAGCGTTCTTGGAAAGGAGCGCAACCCTGCACGGGTGCAAAGTTTAGGGAGGCCTCCAGTGGCCAAAGACAGTGTCAAAAGGAAAATTTAATTGTGGATCTTCCCAAATGAACGCATCATCCAGAGCGAAACATTTAGCCGTCCTTCCAGACTCCAGGAGCGATGCCATTTTCCAGTGTGGCAGGTTCCGCTTGGCCAGTATTCGTGCAAATCGCAAATGTCCAGTGGTCTGTGCTGTCGATTGATTTTAAGACGTTAAAGTTAGGAATAACTTTTTATTTGTTTTTCGTGCCTCTGTTTTCCTGGCTTCCTTAAAGGCACAAACATTTGGCGCTAGGTAAGGTTCACCTGCCCTTCCCCAGCTTTAGAATCTGTTGAAATAAAGATAGGCCCAGCCTAAAGATATAGGCCCTGGTTCTGTGCAGATTTTCAGTTATTACGGCTGTACTGACGTCCAGTAAAAATGTCCCTGATACCTTCTCTGGCTGACCTGAGGGCACTGAACATCTGTCAGCACTAAGAAAGTCGTATAAAATCAACTTACTGTATTTTTTTTTCCTAATTGTTTGGTTTCGCGTGTGAATATTTGAATGTATGGATTCATTTCTGCCTCGTTTCAGGCAAAGCGATTTAAATTGAATTATGCAACGTATGGAAAACAGCCTGATAACAGGTAAATGGTCAATATTTAAATATTGGTTTTGCCTGCTTAATGTCTCGTTATCGATTGCCTTGCAAAGGGTATTCAAAACACGTAAACCCACAAGTTCATCGTGACTTAGGGCCACCTGGCAGTTTTATGCTTTGCCTTTTGTGAGCCACACCAGATACGTCAGGAGCGTCTTTTTAAGGTGTTTAACCTTTGTAGCATCCAAGTATCTAATTGCTATAATATATTTAAGATCTGTGTATTGGAAATAGCAGATCTGTAAGAGACGTCGGTGTTGTTTTGCCGTGTTAGAAATCCAGAGAAATCCTGTGAGAAGAAAGCAATGAGTTTATCTTTCAGTCAAAAGTAGTATTGAGTAGATTGGTTGTGCTGCTTGAATTAACTTGAAAAAGCAGTGTCAATAAAAATTTTAGTCACCTAAGTGTCAGCTGGTGGCACTTTAAAGTATCCATTAAATGCCTTTTAATATCACTTTTCTCTGAAGCCAAATGCTTAGGTGAAATGTTAGCTGTCACTCAGCGTGCCTCTTCTTTTATATGATTGTGCTTAAGAATTTTTCTTTTGGTTTCTTTAGTCCAGAATATTCACTTTTTGTGGGAGACCTGACTCCTGATGTGGATGATGGCATGTTGTATGAATTTTTTGTAAAAGTTTATCCATCGTGTAGAGGTGGAAAAGTTGTTTTGGACCAGGCAGGAGTATCCAAGTAAGTTGTCTTTTATTCATTCTTTTCTTTCCTGTTGCTGCGTGTGAAGCGAAAGATGTAATGCAGCAAGGGAAAAAGAATAGTTCTATCAGCTTAGATTTTAGTAATAAAATACAATGTTCTTGGACATTAATCCTACAGCCTGCTTGGGTTTTGTAGTCACCACAGCGTACTGTCACTCCTCTGTCGGGGCGATGCCTGTTGTGTGTTGACAGTACGTTATTGCATTTCTGAAAATGCTGAAAAATGTTTCAGTAATCTTGACAGACTGTTTTCCTGGACTCTCAGATGGACTTGTGCTCTTGGAGTCTTTAGACTAGTGAGCGTATAACCCTGTGAATGCTTTGCAGGTTTTTGTTTCAAACAGGGTAGGGCAGACAAAGCTGTGAATCACTGTCAGGTACACAGTAGCCGCCTTGTTTGTCTTTACTGAAAATGTCTTGCCAAAAGCAGGTGTCAAAAAAGTCGAATTTCTTGACGTTACCAAAACATTTCCTAAATTGCAGCAAATGAAACTGTATTTTTCCAAAAGAGGGACCGGTTGGCGAGCATCCTTGTTTCCAAACCGGAGCGTGGCTTCAATGAGACACAATATTCTGAGATCGTATCTATGAGAATGTTGTGACAAGACTCAGTGTGTGGCTCTAGATCTCCCCTCTTCCTCACGTAAGGTTTCTCAGCCTTACACGTGTTGGTCTGAGGGGATCTCTGGAGATCCGTGATCCAGTTTCCCACTCTGACCAGGACTGCTGCCAACCCTAGATCAGGTCAGTCATGAATCGCGTAGCCTGGAAAACTCTCAGGATGGAGATAATCCAACCTGTCTGGGCAGCCCGTTCCAGAGCTGTGCTACCTCCCTGGCAATTAATTCTTCACGTGTATCCTGAACCTCTTGCAGAGCTGCTTGGGCTCCCCCAGGCTGCTCAGTACTCGTGCCCTTACTGCCACCTTGCCCGAGACCGGTGCTGCTGGGGTGGGCTCTGGGTGCCTCCTCCTTGGAGCTGTTCTTTTGCTGCAACGGCTTCAGTCAGCTGTGCTACCTCCCTGGCAATTAATTCTTCACGTGTATCCTGAACCTCTTGCAGAGCTGCTTGGGCTCTCCCAGGCTGCTCAGTACTCGTGCCCTTACTGCCACCTTGCCCGAGACCGGTGCTGCTGGGGTGGGCTCTGGGTGCCTCCTCCTTGGAGCTGTAAACCCAGGAGTTCTTTTGCTGCAACAGCTTCAGTCTCTGCCTACGAAATAGGTGATGCAGGTTGGGAGCTGTTTGTAAGTACAGACCTCAGGGAAAAGGCATCTGGGGTGGCTCGGGAAGTGAGGAAGGAGCAGGGATTTAAAGCCCTAGTCCTGGGAAGAGCAGGGCTATCACCCCCAGCAGTGCTGGAGTGGTGCTGCCAGGGGTTTCACTGTGACTTGTGCAGTTACTCAAAGCTGAGGCAACTGCAAGTGTTAGTGGGACGCGAGAGATGGACTCGGGGCTTGTGGACGTGCCCAGTGAAGCCCTGGCCCTTCCAGCTGGGACTGGTAGATCTGGAAGGCCTCACCCCAGGCAAGAGAGGAGCTTGGAGGCTGATGCCATAGAGCTGTGCCTGCTGCTGTGCTTTCCCCTAGGGGTACAGGCTGGAGGGGCTTCTCCTGACTGCAGGGACAGGACAGAGTATCTGCCAGGGAGGTCCCGGCCACAAAAAAAGATGATTTATTGATGGGTTTTCTTCTGGTTTAGCCATTGGTGAGAAAAAATTGTTTAGGAGAGTCTCCCTTGCTGCACCCAACATCTGTTCCTATACACTTTGTGCAACTTTTATCTGCCTGTCTCTCTTTTGGAGCTGCCAGTATTTGTGGCTTCACTTGCACACCCTGGTCCCATCTGACAGGCTGGAGGAGTCTTTGTAGCAGCTCTAGAATCCTACACACTTCTCTCTGCAAACACCTAGAATGACTTAAAAATTGACTTGCGCCTGTTGAATTTGCCACGGTCTTTTCATAGAGGGCTGGTTAAACAGAACGAGTACTCACGTAGAGTTTTACTCTTGCTTAATTAGCCAGTTTGTTTATAGATAAGCCCGAGTGTTGCTGCGAGGAGTACACACACATACCTGTGTGTATGTACAGTCGCACTTGGACTTGTGTGTCTAGCTTGCTCTACAAGATATTGCATTTTATGGGGCACAAACTCCTCCGTAGTAGCTTCCCGTGTCAACGGAGTACAAGTACGAGGTGATGCCACTTTCAAAATAGCGTGTTACTCAGCGTTTCCACAGAATTGATAACACGCTGTGAATTTACACCCTTGGTTACGGCTCGTTCTTTTCCCCAGGTAGACAAGCCCTTTCCCTCCCAAACTCCTTCCTTCACCTTGATGGATTCCTCCTCTCCTCCCACACTTAAGTCTTTGATCTTTCTGCTGCGTGAGCCAGCCCAGCCCGTCTTGGGATCCTGGCGCTGCCCTCTTGGATGCTGTTGCATCGCTTCTGACTCACTTGCGGCGTCAGGATCTCACGCAAGCGACCTCTGGAATTCGAAGGGAATTAATATTTTGGGGCCGGCTGAGGATCGCTGCAGAGCCGAGAGCTGCTGGCTGGGTGCTGGCCCCGGTCAGGTTGTGCTGTCGGAGCAAGTTTTCAGCGACTCGACGTTCAGAGCTCGTTTTCAGGTCCGCAGTTGGGAATGCCAATGAGGCTGGGCCGGTGTCAGGACTGACAGAAAGCCTATCTGAGTATTTTGCCGTGGAAAAAAGGACTAGATTGGAAAGCGTATTGGTCAATCCTGCAGAAAAACAATGTTTTCCTTCGCGGCGGGGCAGTTTTAGATCCAAACAGTGCCTGCGTCCTGTCAGTCCATCCTGTGCTGACTTGCAACTGTTTAGATGATCTGTATCCTCCCAGTATAGATCTGAGGCTTTGCTACTGTCTCTTCATGCATTTCGACACATCTTGTGTCAGCTCATTTCCAATTCCTCCAAATCCACTGGCACAAGAATTAACTTTCCTTTTGTCAAGGCCTCGAAAGTATCCGACAAAGCTTGGACCTGTGGTTCCAAGCATTTTGCAAAAGCCACTGGAAGGTGGAATCATTTAATCTTAAAAGCAGGGACAGCCCTGGCCAAGGTGTTTTATTTGCTGAGTTTTTCAAAACCGATTTTGTCTTCACTGTAAATATTTTTGGGAAAAAAAAAAAAAGCAGCGTATCTTTTTGGATTTTGTTCTGTACGAGTTATTTCTGTATCTCTGCAGAGGTTACGGGTTCGTGAAATTCACGGATGAGCTGGAACAGAAAAGAGCACTGACAGAGTGTCAAGGAGCTGTGGGGTTGGGCTCTAAACCTGTACGCTTGAGTGTGGCTATTCCAAAAGCGTGAGTATAAGAGCAGCCAGACGCCTGCATAAGAGCACCGTGGTGTGAAGTCACGTGCATTTTTTTAAATCTCTTTTAGTGGTTTGGGGACGTTTCCTGGCTGTTCCCATCACAAACGGAAGGAATACCCAAGAATAAAGCAGCTAGAGAATGAGAATGCACAGGAATTTAAAAAAAAATGATAACATTAGATCAAGATTTAAGCATTTTATGCTGTTTTTAATTGTCTACCTGATTAAATACACACACATGGACACACACGGTGTTTAAATATGATTATTTTTTAAGTATATGTTCCTTTGCCTTAAATCGAAATAGTCTAAAGCTGCTTATTGATTTCTGGATAGCAAAACTCAATTACCTTGCTAATTCTATTATAATGTCTACTAAATATACGTCTTTTGGGGCAGGGATTAACTTTTTTTTCTGTGTTTGTTCAGAACCTGATACAATGAGATCCTGGTCTGACTTGGGGCTCGTAGCACTAGGGTAATACGAATAATAGTAATTGCTCCCTATTTGAATAATATTTAGTTTTTCAGTGACCTGGGGGGGAATAAGGAGGAGAAAAGCAGAAAAAGGTGTGTCGTGGTGAGAAGATTGACGTTTCCCTCTTCCTACTTCTCACTGATTTCATCACTAGACATAGCTTTATCTGTGACATATTTCTATTTTCAAACCATACTTGCCATCTCATTACTTCGAATCTTGATCAGCTGGGATTCCCAGTTCCTTGGGAGTGTGAATTTTAGCAAGTTTGCAGGTTATTTAAGTTTATTTTTTTCAATTACTTGTAGTCTTTTTTTACTTTGTGAGCTCTTCCAGTTCTGTGCATTGAAGAACCCAAGTTGAGGTGAGAACCCCTCACCCAGTTGAGGGGGAATGGGGACAACCAGTCGTTGCTTAGATTTCTGCATGGTAGTGGCCAGAGAGGGTTCTGTCTGTTCTTACTAAAAAAACCCCAGTTCTTTTGTGAGGCTTTAAGTCTTTAACTCTTCACTTAAAGCAAGACTCAGTACCTTGCCTCGGGAAGCCGCAGAGTACTTAACTTCGTCCTGTTTATCAGAAGAAAAAAGGGACCTGAGGATCTAAATTATGGTTCAGGATTATTCTAAAGTGAGGCTCGTCGTCCTGAACTCTTCCCTTCCCAAAGCCAGGAAGAACCCGTAAAGAACGAAGGCAAAGTTTAGTAACGAAGATGAATATGAATACAGGAAAGGGCATTAAATTTAAACCACTTCTTTCTTTTGCTTCAGTAAATAATGAACCTATTTTAAAGACTGGAATTTGCATGTTAGACGAGGCATTGTCTATGCACCATATTGTACCTTGAGCTATCTCACTGCTTTTTTCTGTCGCTCAACACTACTTGCAACTTAATTCCCGCTTTATTTTTCTTTAAGTAACCGCATGAAGCCAATGGAGTACAACCAGATGTACAACTATAACTATAACCAGTATTACCAACAGTATCACAACTACTACGCCCAGTGGGGCTACGACCAGAACACGGGCAGCTACAGCTACAGCTACCCCCAGTACGGCTACACGCAGAGCACCATGCAGGTAGGACAGCGCGACGTATTCGCTCCTGAGCGAGCTCTCGGCACAGAAACGCGACATCGCTTGCGAGACGGCGATGGGCACGTTTTGTCTTCGAGCTCACGTGGCTATTTGCTGAGGAAGCAGAGCGTTTTGGCACACCTCGGTGCGTGCTGTTGCTTTGTGCGGGGGATATTGCGGGGACTGAGATCTGGAGGGCAGAAAGAGGTGTCTTAAAGCGATTTTTGTAGAGGGAGGGTTCTCTCGGTACAGGCAGCGCTAAAGCTGCCTCCTGAGATCCTTCTTGCAGAGGATAGAATAGATGGGGACAGTCGTCCAGCTTCGCTGCAGTAATTTCAAGAACTCCTCGCTCCATTTGAAGTTTAGGGTGGGATCTGCCCCGTGGAGTGCGCTGGGAGGGGAACATGGGACTTACATGTGAAGAATTTTGTTGTAAGCGCTCAGGTAGAAAAGTCAGCGTACAACAGCAGTAATTAGCAGGTGATGTTCATGAAAGAAAAGACAAATATCTGCCATCCTAAGGGTTTTGTTTTGCCTTGCAGACATATGAAGAAGTTGGGGAGGATGCCTTGGAAGGTATGTTTCTCAGATTTTATATTGAAGTTGTCTGCTTGTTCTGCACTGGTTACAGATAGTCAATCTGGCCCTTCGTTTCAGTGTGTAATTTCCTTTTATCTCTGAGTAGATCTGAGGTCCAGGAAAATTTGTGCCTCACTATCGTGTAGCGCAAGTGCGTCCTTATTTTACAGTTGCGTAGAGATAGCCTAGAGATTTTGATCTTCCACAGTGCTCAAACTTTTATCCTTTGTTTAGTGTTTTTTTCTGGTGTGCTACAAAAACAGTGTAGATATTCTGTTTCTCTGCAAAATCTTGGAATTTAGATCCCAGAATACTTCGCTGTGCTTTTAGTTTAAAACAGAAATACTACCAGTTAGCACACTGATAAAATATTTGCTCTGGCAGTCTTGGCTTGAAATGGGTCACTAAACCACATTGGGCTTTTAGATACACCTACGAGCGGTTTTAATTTACTGATGCAAGAAAAAAGTCATTTCATACTAGCAGTTCCAAATTCCTGCCTTGAGTGGAGTAGGCATTGTGTAGTGTGTCTTATTGTTTATTAAAAAGAAGGAAAAAGCACGTGCTAACAGTAGAAAGCGGCTGGATCTTTCACATGATCCACAGGTATCAGTAATGTTGTCAGTGAGAAAGCCCCGAGTGGCTTTTAAACGTGGTACAGAAGAGCTTTCTCTGAAACCAGCGCTGTAGTTAGAGTGTCTCTGGAGTGTCTTTTTCTCTTAATACGTTGAAACATGTAGGAAACCGAAATAATATATTTCCAGGCTCTCATTTAATTCTGCTCTCCTGCGACGCGTGGGGATGTGCTGTAGCTAAAACCGAGCGTGTCCACAAGCGCCCCCGACGCGTTTTTCCATCCAGTGAGCCGGTTGCTTTGCGCTCTGAGAGGCGCTAATGAACCTCAGTGATGGCGCTGCGCCGATAACCTGATCGTGGGCATCGCTGCCGGAGCTTTGGTTGAGCCGATTCTTGTGAAACGCGACGTGTGCGTCGGCGGCAGCTGGATTGCTGTCGGGTGCTTTACCTGCTTCAAAGCAGGGCACACATTCCTACATAATTCACTCGGTGTCGCTGGCACCGTGAAATGCTTCAAGATGTTTGGCGCGTTGGCAGGACGCTGGTTTTTACTTCCTAACGTGACAACCGGCTGAACATGAGCCAGCAGTGTGCCCAGGTGGCCAAGAAGGCCAACAGCATCCTGGCCTGTATCAGAAATGGTGTGACCAGCAGGAGGAGGGAGGTGATCGTGCCCCTGTACTCGGCACTCGTGAGACCTCACCTCGAGTACTGTGTCCAGTTTTGGTCACCACAGTACAAGAAGGACATCGAGGTGCTGGAGCGGGTGCAGAGAAGGGCAACAAGGCTTGTGAGAGGTCTGGAGAACATGCCCTATGAAGAGCGGCTGAGGGAACTGAGTTTGTTTAGTCTGGAGAAGAGGAGGCTGAGGGGAGACCTTATTGCCCTCTACAACTACCTAAAAGGAGGCTGGAGTGAGGCTGGTGCTGGTCTCTTCTCTCTAATTACTAATGACAGGACAAGGGGAAATGGCCTCAAGTTGCGTCAGGGTAAGTTTAGATTGGATATTGGGAGGAAGTTCTTTACTGAGCGAGTGGTGAGGCACTGGAACAGGCTGCCCAGGGGGGGGGGGGAGGCCCCAACCCCGGAGGGGTTTTAAAAAAATGGAGATCTGGCACTTGAGGCTGTGGTGTAGTGGTTGGGTGTGCTGGGATGAAGGTTGGACTAGATGATCTTCAGAGGTCCCTTCCAACCCCGAACATTCTGTGATGTCTTTGTCCGTCTTCCCTCCTTTAGATCCAACGCCTCAGTTAGACGTCCACGAAGCAAATAAACAGTTTATGGAACAGAGCGAAGAGCTCTACGATGCCTTGATGGACTGTCACTGGCAGCCTTTGGACAGTGTCTCGTCAGAGATCCCGGCCGTGTTATAGCCTCGTCGCTGAGGCGCTGTGTCTGTGTGTGAGAAACCTGCCAGCGCGCTCCGGACTGCTCATGCTGCACCCAGCTCCTGCGGCAGCGAGGGGTGGCCCTCGCTCCACGCGGGTCTTTTACTCGAAGTGTGGGAGGACCGCGGCCTTCCCCGTACGGAACGAGTCTCGTAGGAGCATCATGGTAACTTTTATTCACAGTGGAAGTTTAGAACTGCGACAGTTTTATTCCTTTTGTCTTGAAACGGACTCTTAATACTTACGGGGAATTGTAATTTATAAACTTCCAACAAGATGGCGCAGGGGAAAGACACTACTCCGACGTACAATAAAAAAGTTGGTCTTTTAAGTAAAATTACCCTTTGCATTTTGGTTCCTGCCCATCTTTTGGTTTTGCTGCCCATTTAACTGTCTTCAGTCATTCGAGCCAACCCTTGTGAATGTGTTATTTTAAAAAAGTCCGTGTTGGATAGCGCTAAAACGTCTCAAAAGCTTTCCAGTGACTGGGTGAGGTTGCTGTAACTTGAGCGCGGGGAAGAACCGTGTAGGTGAAGGCGTGTGTTCTGTTTATCTGAAGTTTATTGCTCGGTGTTCGTAAGCAATCTTACCTGAAGAGCATTTTGGGGAGTAAAGACAGAAAGGAGCGCTATAAAACTGCTGCAGACAGATGCCTTCTGCCTGGTGATCGCTCACACGTTTGGCTCCTTTCTCCACCTGTGTGCGAGGAAATAATTCCTCATCAGTTGAGCCATTTAGAACACTTTGGTTAAATGTTATTTTGTGTATCATGCCTTTTTTTTTTCGTTGTGGACCCACCTTAAGGTGTTAAGATTTCATAGCGTCTTCCACTGTCGTGTCAGAGTAAATACGGTGAAACTGAAGATCTTGCGGTGATGAAAAAAAACGGGTCAAAGCAATCAAGTCGATATATTGTGCAACAAATTGTTGCTAACCTGAGAAGCAGTTTTCTACTGGATGTTATATGAGCTGGATGGACAAGCAATATATTTAAGCTAACATTATGTCGCATTAGAGGTGAAAGCGAAAATGATAGCACTTCTGTACGTGTTACAAGCCCTTTTCAGGCTTTTGTGCCTTAAACTCTTTGAGAAATAGGAACAGATAAACTACCTGTAATAAATGTCTACCCAAGGAATAGTTTGGTAACTGAAGTTGCTGCTGCAAAGCATTTAGTTGCCTCCCTGCCCAAAATTTCAATACTTTCATAAAGCCTACTTCTACTACACCTTTGTTTGTGTCCATAATTACGATATCTTTGTCAGTCTCTGGTCTTTTTATCAACTGCAACGCGCTGTGGATAGGAGGGGAGTGGAGATCTGTGCTGGAGTTTGCATGTTTCTGATCAAGTGGAACTAGAGGACTGCTGGACCCCCGCGTTCTCATCTGCTGTGAAGTTTTTCCTCCTGCTGAGCATCAGGCCGTTAGTGGCGTCCTACTCTTCAGTTACTCTGAATTTAAGGAGGTGGATGTTCCCTGCGGGTGCTTGTAACGCTTCAAGAGGCTGCAGAGAAGTGGAAGAGAGCTTTTCTTTCTTCTGATGTAGCTGGTCAGCTGAGGTGATATTCCTCCTCTTGAAAAGTTCCTGGCGTTTCAGAGGTGATGTGGGGAAGGGGTTTTTATGTTCTGCTGGTAAACTTTTTCTAGATCGTTCTGTTACTGTGCTGCCCTGCCTGCCCTTCGTCCTCTTCTGGACCTGCCTTTCCCGATTCCACCCAGATTTTAGCTTTTGTATCGCAGCCCTACGGGAAGCGAGCTAAAGCCACACTTACTTTATCGAAATGAATCGATGCTGCTGTTCTAAGGCTGCCCAGAATCGTAACGCGGGGATCAGCCGTATCCATCTGAGTGTTTCTAGAGGGACAGCGGAGCAGGTCCGCGCAGAGCAGCGCCCCGGCACAGACACTGACCCTGGGGCCAAATCATTCTGCTCTCCACTCTTGTTTTTGTGGTGGAAATTGGTAACGATTGGGGGTAATCCCCTGGTTTCTAGGAGAGCTGCTTTACCTAAAAGCAGACCCTTGGGCAGGCAATTTGGGAGCCCAGAAGTCAGCAACGTTTACCTACCGAAGCCCGTTCAAGCCCCCTCGCTGGTGCTGCGGAGCTTAAAATAGCCCTCGTGTTTCCTGTGGGGAGAGAGGTGGACATGAGACTTTGGGTCACATCCCCTTGATGTGCCAGCCAGCCTTTTGGGCTTGGTTGTGAGAATCTCAGCCGATGTTCTGGGGAGCTCTTAATCTCTCTTGCATCTTTTTTTCCCTGCATATCACTTACTCATCTTGATGTTCGTTTTCAGCTCCCGGCCATTATTGCAGCATCCGAAGCACAGAGGAGACTTTGATGTGGAGCTACAAAACAGCCGGTCACCTGGATTTTGTAGGGTTTGTGTTTTGGAATCCAAATTAAACAGAGTGTGGGATTTTGTTTCTCGTGGCTGGCTACAGGAAAAGCCCTGATTAATTACCATTTAGCGTAACAGAAGATGAAAGACGAGGACTCCGTGTTGTGAGGTAAACTCTGCTTTTATCTTTACGGGCTAGAGGCAAGAAATGCGAGGCGGGTGATATCACAGCTTGCCGGGATTATGTAATTCTCAAAAATTGCATCAAAATCTGTGACTGAGATTGTGAAGCATTCTTCCTTTCAGCATGCACCGTTTACTAGTAATTAGAGAAACGACTCGAACATTCTTACTGTGTCACTTGGTGAAGACGTGACGATCCAATTTAGATTCTAAATTGAAGGGACTCCTGGATTACCATTTCGGTTGCAGCCACTGGAAAAGGTTTGGCCAACTGCAGAGCCGGGAAGTCGTGGGCGTTCCTCCTCTTGGGCACGAAGTGGTGATTTCCAAAGCGTAAGGTGGCCTCTTACCATTAACATGTTTAATTAAAAGCTTGAGAGTAATCGGCGGGGATGGCCTGTGAGAAATTCGAAAGGGTTTCCAGAGGGATGAGGAATCTGAAACCAGTGTTTTCGCAAACGCCGTGTGTGGGTTGAAGGGTCCGATGGGAGCCGGTGTTGGTATTTTCTGTGTGTGACAGGAGAAAATTCTTGTTACTTGGACCGGTTTTAGGAGGCAGGTTCGTATCCCGCACACCAAGATGTACCAAACCCCCTGAGGTATTTCTCTGAAACCCTTTTGAGGAACAGAGACGTTTGATCTTTGCGCACTCCGTTTCTCATTACTGGTTTGCTAATCCCCAGCTTCTGCTAAACAAGATCTGAAAGGAAATTTTACCTTCCAGCCTTGCTGTCTTCCGGTACATCTTGTAAAACATACTGGATACACCAGTTTCTGGATTTAACTTGGGATTTGCTGAGACATGAAATTAATTCAGTGGCAGGATAGGGTATGAATTTTAAACACAATAGCTACATGTAGAAACTGATAGAGCCAGTTCAGAAAACATCACTCTGACAAAGCTTGTTTTACCTTTTTCCCTGGTTAGAGCATTGCTGGATCGTACATTCATACTTTTTTTCCCTTACTGTTCGTTTTTCACAGAGTGCTTCCCTGCGGCTTGTCCGCTCCCACAGGTCTGATGGTAGGAATCGCAGCCTCTTCCAGCATTTGCTCCCCATCCTGTGATGGAAAAGACCAACATGAGGCTCCGGCCGTACCGGGAGGTCTCGTCAGGGCTTCTCTGAGCTCACGGCCGAGCACCGCAGACACGCAGTGGGATTTTCTCAGCTCCTCTTTGGGTCTCCATCCATCTTCTTGTGACAGGCTGAGGTCTACTGAGCATCCGTTGGATTCTCTCGAAGAATTCTTTCCAAATTCTTCCCCATTTGGAAGATTCTCTTCCCGAACACTTGATGTCTACCAAGGTTTGAATTTTTGGGGTAGTTTTTTTGTTTATTTTTTTGCTATGGCGAGCTCCCACTTTCTGGCCTGCCCTAGGATTTGATGCAGAGATTTCTAGGTTCACTTTGCACAAGTCGCTCTGCCAAGGAGCATTTGGGCCGCCCAGGGAATGCCTTGTGACTTGGCAGAGAGGCTTTAAGATCCATGTTGGAGGTGGAGGATGGGACCAGCTGCTTGGAACCTGTCCCTGATAGCTTTGAGAAGGGCTGTTTTTAGGAGAGGAGCTTGGTCACACGCAGTTTGGGGTTCACTTGCACACTTATTCTGCTTTAAGTGGGTGCCAGGCTTATTTAGTTGGACATCTGGCATGTTTGTGGTGGGGTTACCGGCTTGAAAGGGTGTTTCTTGAGCGCTGCGGATTTTTCATCTGTGAATTTTGCTCAGAACAGATGAAAAACTGACTGTTGTTCTCCCTCATCCTTTTTGCGCTTTCTCCAGGCCTCAGAGGCAGGAAGCAGTCTCAGGCTTTTCAACCCCATTTCTCTACGGTGGCTGCAGCTTCAGCGTTGGTCCGTGCTGAAATGTCATCGGTCCTTTCCAACCAGCTGGGAAGAGCTCTCGTTTTAAATCCTTCCCACCGATTATGGACCACGAGCCAGGAACCTGACAGGTATCATTTTGGCAGGGAGGCTTTTTAGTTCCAAGAAACTTCCCTTCTGTTCCCCGAGGGTGAGGCGTTCCCGGTTAGAAAGGGGAGGAAAGAGTAGGGAAAAAAAGTGGCTGCTGCCCTCACCTTTCCAAAGAGCAGCCGCTGGCGTGCACCTTGCCATGGGGAGGAGAGAAATTGTCTCTGTGTCCCTGCGCTGGAGATTCATTTTGGGGGATGTGTGTTTGAAATGATGGTCAGTGCAAGCCAGGGGGGATGTTTAAGATCATGATCTTGCTGCTTGGGGGTGGGATTCCCCCTGC